AAACACCTTGCACAACTCAGAGGAAAGTAAGGGTTTGTTGTTGATGATTGTTTTTTATATATTTCTTCACCAACTATTTGCATCTTTGTTTCTGTTCCTATTAGCACCAGACAACTATGCACCCTCCAGTGTGGGAAACTATGCTTTATTCATATAAAATTAACTCATTCACTTCTGTGTTTATCAAATGTTTACTGATTTCTTACTGTGTTAATGTCAAAGCCTGGTACTCTTGGAACTCAATATCTGCTAGTGGATGGAAGGCCTGGACGAGAAGCGAACAGGTCAGACTAGTAAGTGCATAAACAAGATAATGTTGATGATTCTTGCTGCTATGGAAACAGCATCAGCTGGGTGTGGTGGCCCATGCCTGGAATCCCAACTTGTCTTTCTATTAATTTGCCCAGAAAAACATTTCTGGAGGTGCAGTGAGAGCTGAAGTTGATGACCAGGGCTTTGAACCCGGTTGTAAAGGAGAAAGATGACTGAGAACACAGGGTGACTAATGGCTTGGGAAACCGAGGCAGGGGTATTTCCATGAGCGCTTACTGCTCTTATAGAGGACCCAAGTGTAGGTCCTAGCTTGTAACCAACAGTAACTCCAGCTCCAATATGGAATACATGAGTCCCATGAGAGAGCTAGAGCTGTATCCCTTTGGACGCCAGGTCATATTTGAAGGAATTGGTGTTTGTTCTGAGACCTAAAGAATTGAGGAATGTCAGTCATGTAAAGAGCACAGGAAAGAGAGTTCTGGCAAATACATATAAGACTGGCATTCAGAAGGGACTTACCCATTCAGAGAATTGAGAAACTGCCATTAGGAATAAGACTTCAAAAATGAGAGGAAAATCCAGGTCACAGACTACCAACTGATATTCCGAGACAGTGGACACAGTGCTAGCTATGAACTGTAAGAGCAGTTGAGGTGGGCACAGGGCTAGCCATGAGCTATAAGAGCATAAGAGCAGTATGGGAGAACTAAATCCCAACTTTGATGTATGATAGTACAGTTCTTAAAAACAGACTGTAACTTTCACAAGACTTTCTAAGATGTGTACTCTTTCTCCCACAATATCACTTAATGTCAAGGGGAACACAAGGCACATGCTGTTAGCAAGACTGGAGAGACAAAAGTTGCAGCTTAGAGCTACATGGAATATATTTTTCCAACACCCAGAAAACTACTTGAGAAATGTATGCAAATAACCATTACTGATGGAGACAAGGTGGTGACTTGAGACACTGTGTAGATGTCTTTGGGTGTAAGCAACTTTAGGTGCCCCAGATGTGCTAAAGAAACACAAGGCAAAGTAGCAAGTGTTGACAGCGATGGGAAAGTTGACACTCTCATACTAGGTATCAAATTAGCAAACAACTAGACAAGAAATGAGGAATACCTGAGAATTGTAAGGACTTAACCCAGTTGTGTATTTGGAAGAATGGAAAGCATATTCTAAATGTAAAAGTGGCACAAAGCTGCCTGATTTCCGCAACAATATGCTGTCCCCAAATCCTCCTAACCCAAATATCTAGGAGTTCTGTTTTGAAATTCCTTCTTTCCTTCATCAAATGATTATAGAAGAGATGAAAACCCAACTTGAATGTTTTTCTGAACTGATTTAAAGAAAAGAAAATACCACCACCCCCTGTATGTACCTTTCCCACCCAAATCTCCTAAATGTCTAGATGATGATTTGGAGACACTTGGACTTGTTAATTAACCTAAACAGCCACGTTCATCTGCAAGGTGCATTATAGTTAATTAAAACTGCGATTCTCCTCGTGCCCAGACGGAGGACTGCTGTTGTCAGAATAATTAGATAGCATAGGATGGTTTTCATGCAAATTCCTGGCAATTAGAGTTGGCGATGAATTGGGTTTGAAATCCCAGTGAAGTTCTCAGTGAGAATTCCTTGGAGGCTGCAGAAGAAAGGTGTTTGGAGACAGGGAAGGAGGGTAGAGGTATGGTGGCAGATGAAAAGATTTAGGAAACATGCATTTGTTTCCTAAATCCTCTAGGGTGCAGGGCTTAGCTGGAAATGAATGAATTATAAGCATCAATGTGATGTTCAAACTTTCCTCAAGAAAAAAGAAATCTCCCCTTAATGTAAATTGACCCTCCCCAGGGCTTTATGCATTCCCAAGAGCTTGTTTTCTTGACTCTCATCTTTCAGAGAGAATTTTTTTTAACTTTTATTTATTTATTTATTTTCCTTAGCCAGAAGGCCCAATAACTCATACACAGCTAAAATCCCTGCCAACCCATAGATTAAATTCTAAGGAAACAGGATTTGTATTCCTGAAGGGTTGCACAAAAGGTGCCAAGTTCCAACCCAATTTAGATGGGTTTGTGGTACCCATTGGGGTAAAAGTGTTTGGATAGTGGATCCTCACGGACAGCTTCTAGAGCTGGCTGAGGTCAGAGTTAGACATAAGGATGAACTGTCCAGCTGCAGTACACATAATGGCAGGGAAAGCCCAGTCCCAAAAGGCCTAGAGCAAGACAGCAAAAGTGGGGGAGGGGAAGAGGAGGAGCTTTAAGTCTTCTTGTTTCCAACCCACTGTGACCTCTTATCAGTTGCTGGTTTCTGTTTCTGCTATCCCTTTGCAAGAGATATGCTAGCTGTCAGCTATCACCAGAACTTTCTCAACCCTGACTGAGCTAGGAGAGAGATCTAGCTGGGAGTATAAAAAGCAAGGTAGAGCAGACAGCCCCAGTGGTGTTAGGCCAGGTTTCCCCTGAGCATTGGAAAAATCAGGGAGCCAAAACAGTCTTACCACCCCTTAAACTAGGTCAGCCTCTAAATCCAGTCCCTTGTAAGAGAGGAAAGCAACACCTGGAATGATTGCGAGAGCAGTTGGAGATTCTAGGGCTCTCTCTCTCTCTCTCTCTCTCTCTCTCTCTCTCTCTCTCTGTGTGTGTGTGTGTGTGTGTGTGTGTGTGTGTGTGTGTGTGTGTGTGTGTAAAATGTAACTGAATAGCAAGTAGAAAACAAAAACATAGGGACACAATCATCAGCACCATGGCTGGAGACCTGAGCATATTTTAGGTTTGTAAATTCTTTCCTTTTTCCTTATTTTTTTTCTCTTCCTTTATGTTTCAGAATGTCTCCCGCGTCTCAATCGGTCCTACGATCCCGCCTTTCAATTTATGATGTACCAATCAGGAACTGAACCTGGTGGTTGCTAAGAGACCAGAGGAGGGAGATTTAGAGTCTTTGTCAAGGCACCCGCCCAGGAAAATTCCCTGATTTCTTCTGCACCCTCCAGCCTAGGATGCTTTAAGTCACCCCCTGCACTTCCCTCTCAATTCTTAAACCCAGAACATCATCCATAGTTACATTAGGGAAGAAGACAGTAGTGAGCATCTTTGAAAGTATGGAAGATTGTAAGTAGATTCACATTGATGTAAAGCACCCACTCCTGGGTGGGCTTAAGGTGGGTTGCAGAGAGAAATTTGGGGTCTTTTCAGGTAGAGGGTGAAATTGTGGCTGGCAGGAGTGCTCCATATGATGAGATTCTTGCTTGCTGTCCTCCTAAACACTACTAAGTTTTGTCACACAGGGTATATGAAGACAAACTTTCCAAGTCACAAGACAGAGACAGAGAAGCAAGCAGGTGTGGGGGAAGATGGCCTAGGACACTGGATGGGCAAGAGAATGAGAAAAAGAAGAGTGTGATGTAAAGGCATCTTTTGAGAGCTGGGCTTTGAAAGGGAAACTTGGGCAATTTGAGCCACGAGATGAATTGGGTAGGGGTGACTCCCTTTCAGTTGACTCACCATTTCTATCTCCATGATTTTTTTCTTCTATGCACCACACACAGGGATGCTGGCTATAAACAGCAAGGTGAATGAACTTAGCAAGTAAGGATTTCTGCCCTCACATCCTGAATAGGTGCAGAAGTAAGTTAGGAAGGGCACTCTGCAATAGGTTTGTGCACACACATGGACATGTGTACTGCAGATACTGACTGAAATGTTAGCTCATGCATAGACACGTTTCACTGCAACACGAATACTATGGGTCCTAACAGATTGAGAGACAGATGTATAAACACATCACATTCACAGAAAAAAGGGAGAGAGAGAGAGGAGGAGGAGGAATAATGGTCATAATGAAGAACAAACCTGCAAGAACACACACACACACACACACTCACATTCACTCAAGCACACGCATATTCACACAGAGAGGGGGGGAGGGAGGGAGGGAGAGAGAGACACAAGCATAAAGAGGAATCAAGGTCATGGTAATGGAGGGAAAAAAACCTTCAAGTGTGCATACATGCATGCAGAGAGAAGGGGGAGGGAGAGAATAGTGGAGAGAGAGGGAGGTTGGGAGTAAAAGTGAAGGAGAGAGAAAGGTGGAAAGATGGGGGGGATCCAGGTCATGATGAAGAATTAACTTGCAAAAGACATCTCCTAGGAAGCAGCACTTCGCACTCTCTTGGTATATGCCCTAGACTAGGCCATGGTAATATCATTGGCCCATGTGACTGCAGCCCTAACAAGGTAGCTGCCCCCAGTCTCCCCAGTGTCCCTGAGTATGCTTCCTTCATTTCCTACCACCACTCCGACCTCCAAACAAAGCCAGAGAGGACAAAGAAGATAAGGTTTACCTGGGCCAGTCAGATAGAGGAGCAGCACTGTTGCTTTGGGCTTTTTCTCTGCCACTCACCTCTGCCCTCACACCCGGTTTCTGTACCTATTCCATGTATTCTCTGAAACGGCTTCTCTTTTTGTTGCTTGTTAAGCCTTGCCTTCTTGTTTGAGAGTTCATGTTCTCCACTCATGCTATCGTTTTTCTTTTCTGTTCCCACAAGAAGACAGTAATCACTCACCTCAGGAGAACATCTGTATTCCCTGAGAATGTTTATCCTCCATCTCTTTCTTCCAAGGCAACTCTAGAAACAGGAAAGGCAGGCGTGCATTGCCTTCCTTCCTCTCTGTGGTCTTTCTCCCTCTCGTTAACTCCAGATGAAATAAGAAAGCACCCGCTTCATAAAAGCAGTATAGACTTTAATTTAGGTTGACATGTGGGGAAAGAACTAGGACTTAACTGCAAAGGCATCCATATGAAAAGACTGTCTTGCATGGAGGGATAGAGAAGGCAAGGATCTACGGGTGGTCTGGTGGCAGAAGAGGGCCAGGAGTAAGGGTGTAGCCACACAGTGCAATACAGCCAGGGCTTCTGCCAGGTTCAGCATCACATCTAGAATCTGCTGGGATGGACATGATTGCAGAAACACTATTTTGGACCTCACCAAAGCATCAAATATGAGAACCATCCCATGAGGCCACCAGAAAATGAACCAGATCCACAGGACACTAACCCAGGGGCCTGGCCCCTTGCCCAATGCCTTCCTCAGCCCTGTGGCTGCCAAAAGAGCCAGTGGTAACACAGTGAAGATGGTAAAACAGATTGCAGAATGTGTGGACTTCAAAGCTTCCAGGTCCTTGTTGGATGCAAGGGTGCAGAGGCCATTGTAAATGTCACTGGCCAAGGTGACAGGCAGCCCTAATAGGACAGCTGCTACCCAAACTCCTACAGTGAGTCCCAAGATGAGGCCACGGATTTGACCTATACCCAGTCTGGGGTTCAGGCAGGCATAGCACACTATCAGCAGAGCCTGGGCGAAAGCTGAAGTGTACCAGGTCCAGTAGCCCAGGAAACACAGCCCTGTGCTATGGGCACTGTTTAACCCTGGTGCCAGGACAGGCACTGCAAAGCTGAAGAGGGCACTGCCTACTGCCAACTGTGCCAGAACAGGCCAGCTGGGGCAGATCTGCCAGCGGGAGAAAGGCTTGAGAATTGCGAAGAGGATGATACCACTTGCCAGCACGCCCAGGACACTGGTGAGGATGAAGAAGGGCAGTGAAGAATTGTCAAGTAGAGTACAGGAGTGGCAGGGAGCAGCTGCTCCAATGCTGTAGTTATCCATTGATTCATAGGTGATGTTATTGTCATAGAAATAATCTTCCATATCCAAAGGAAACTGAGTTCCATTCTTGTCTAGTGAAAAGGAGGTTTCCACCTATAGGGTACACCCAGAAGGGACAGTCAGTCAGGTAGGGCATCTAGCACATTAATGAAGAAGGCTGGGGTACGTTTGGGTTTGGAGAACAGGGGATCTGTTTACAGGTGGGTACTGCAGGCATGGTAAAAAGGGCAGCTGAGAACCTTCACAGAGCTGAGTAGAAGGATGGAGGGAAGTGAGGAGAAACCTGTGTAGAACTGGCCAAAAAGTGGAGAGAGAAAGCAAATAAGGCAGGGACAGGAAACTGAGGTAAGGAAAGAAAGGGGGAAAAGAGTTTTGAAATTGAGAACAAGAAACACAGGGATAAGGAATTGGGGGGGGGGGAAGGATGAGCATAAAATCCAGAGAAGTAAGTAGATTCTTACTGTAGGACAGAGGCAAGGGTAATGTCCCCACACTCACCGGGTGCAGGCAGTTCCCCATGGCACTGCAGGCTCAGGGCAGACAGAGTATAGGGCCAGGACTCTGTCAGCAGCTGTGGCTCCAAGATAAGTGCCCAGGGCTAATGAACACTCTCAGGGGCTGGGCAGAGCCGGGATGTGTATGTGGGTCACACTCAGGAAACTCTGACTACTTAAACCTTAGGCTAACACAGGGTACTGTCCTGGGGCTTCCTGTTTTGAAGCTGGATTTGGCTGGTCAGAATGGCCTTGGGAAAATAACATGGTGAGGGCCACAAAGGGGAAATTTTCCCAATGGTGGCAAGGAAGAAGCCAGTGAGCTTTCCAGCAAGGGAGGATCCCTCAGGAACAAGGAAGGATGAGGGGCTAGGGGTGACATCTGAAGCAGAGATAAGAGAGAGGTGCTGGGAAGTTGAGTGACCCTGCATTTGATGACTCTCTGTGTTCTCTATTCCTTTGAATGAAATCCAAGCAAAGAGTTTAAAAGTTCCCAGTTTTGCAGAGAAGGTGTGCTGATGGCATTTGCCTTTGGCTACATCCAGACCGAGGATATGCATTTAAATGGAGGCCTTTTGTGTTTGCTGGAAGGAGCAGTGGAATGCACCTGTTTATCCATGTCCCTAGGTTGGGTATCAGTTTGCCGCATATCTGAGTGCTAGCTGTTGGGTGGTGTCTGGGTGTGTGCATTACTATCTAGAGGTATGGGTGCTCCAGTGTAAGGGGGATAGAAGATTTGGAGGTCTGTCAAGGCTGTGTATTGACTCTCCTCCAGGGAGCAATTGGGCATTTGCCTTACCACCTATGGACTCAATGAATGCATCTCTTACTCCAAGCAGAACACATGGTCTGACACATCAAAATAGGCTCTGAGGGACCATGGGACAGCATACTTTAATGTGAGACTATAGCCCACTGGGTAATCTCTATTCATATTGTTGAGACATACAGACTGTGAGAATGCTTCATTGGTTTGTCGTCTTAGCAATAAGTAAAGTTCCTGATGGGAGCTAGAACTGTTATTTCTCTGGCCAGGAGAAATACGGGATACATGTTTAGCCAGTGGATTCCATTAATCCCCTCAGACTGGAGTGCAGAATGATGGGTTTCCAGGTCAAATTTCAGATAGAACAGGAAAGAGTTAGAAAAGGGAGTTTGGCAAAAACTAGTGAAGCTCCCCTTCCTAGATGGTGTTGGTGGGGTCTTCACCTCCATCATGATGTTGGCCAGCATTGATGGGCAGAGGGTAACAGGGTAGTAGGGGGGTGATGTGCTTCAACTCCAAATGATCTCAGGAAAGCAAAGGCCTCAGACACTCTCTCCCTTGATTCCACACACAGATGCTCTGAGAGAGTGGCATGGCAAGGATGCAGTACCCTTTGAGTGCCAGGGGCCAGGGACATGAGGACAGCCCTTATTTACATGCAGCCCAGCCAGAGGTGAGAATAGCAGAAAGGAGGCAGCCTGACCACACGGATAATCCAGATATATTGAGGGTGGACCCTCTGAGATTAGCACAGGAGAGTTAGAAAGATTATAAAGATACACGATCCCCTCCCTGCTCCCTTCCCCCGCCCCCACCCACAGACAGACGCACACAGCACAACGGCCCTTCTTCCCCCCGCCCGCCAGGTACAAATATGGCTTCTGTGTAATATGGACAGAGTGGTTCAGCTCAAAGTGGAAAAGTCATTTTCCCAAAAGCGGGTGCTGGGAGATGAGGAGCCTGAAGAGGCCTGGGGCCTAGGGCTCCCTTGCTGCTATAAGAGGAGAATCCCTGGCTTAAACGAGAGGCTGCCTGGAATGCCCAGGACCCTAACCAGGGACTGGAAGATTCACGGAAAGTATTACCTGAACTGAAGGAGTAGGCAGGCCTGCTGGATTGCAGCTGCCCTGTTTTGCACACCTGTTGTCAGAGCAGGGAGGACATGCTGGAGGAGGGGGAGAGCGATGCCAAGAGCATCCTGGGTCTGAGGGACAGGCCAGCCAGGATGGAGAGGGTGAGCAATCTCATCTCCACAGCAACCAGCTTGGCCATAGAAGGAAGACAGTAAACCAAAAACTGTGATGGGGACCTAGTCCTTAGTCACTGGGTACAGAGGATGGGAATCCAGAGTCAGTGCCAGGGAGAGGCTTGAGGGATGCATAGCAGAGGCTGTGGCCCTGGCTCCATGGCTCAGAGATGGGCGGTCCAGGGAAGGGTGGTGAATGTGTAGTGTTTCAGAGGGACAAAATGCACAGCCGGGCAAACCACACTCTGCGACTCCCCTTCTTTCTCAGATAGGCATCAAGAATGGTTTGGAGATGACTAGGATGGAGCAGCCCCCCTAGAGGAGGTACAAACCCTGACTAGGAGCCATCCACTCCCAAAGCCCACCTCGTGCCTCACATGTTCCATGCCCTGTCTCCCACTCAAGACCCCTGGTCCTTCTCTTCGATCCCTTTGCTTCTTGCTCACACAAATACACATGTACACACATCCATGCACACTTACGCACACTTTCACACACAAACACACACACGTGCACAGAGTTCACATTATTCCCTCAGTTTGGGCAGGAAACAGCTCACTGCAGCGAAGCTCCTTTTAGTAATTTTGTTGTCATGTCTGCCTGGCTGCTGAGGGAGGAGGGACTGAGGGATGGTACAGGGAACAGGAGAGGGCACAGGGTGACACAGGGTGGAGGAGTAGTTGCTGAGCAATGCCATGAGAGGAGCGGTTGCCGTGCAACAGTCCAGGGTCTTGGGTAAGAGTGAGGGGCCCCTCCGAGAAGCAGACGCTGCCCAGCCCAGAAGCAGTGCACTTTCTTCCACAACTGCTGGAGCTAGGACAGAAAGCTGAGCTCTGCTGACCCCCAAGGGCCGATTCTGTGAAAAGAGCCTGGCTTCGTTCATCATGTGGGGGCAATGATGGACAGTGTCCTTTCCTTCATCCTCTCTCTGGAAATCTACTCTCTGGGAGGGACATGATGAAGCCCAGGATCCCTGTGAGGCTGCATGCCATCTTCAGTTCTCATCTTCTCGAGGACTCTCCTACTCATCTTTTTCTTATGTAATGGAAGATGGGTATCGGCCTGACACCTGTCTCCCTGTCTGTAGCTCACAATACATGGCTGGCAGAGGTAGAGCTACCCCTAGCCCCTGCTTCCAAACCCAGGTTCCTCGGAGACACTTGGGAGGCTGACCTGCTGTGAAAATGGAAGGAGGGCCTTGTAAGCCCCCGCCTGCGAACCAGCCCTGCTCCTCATTCATTTCTCATCCCTCCGACTTTCTTGCCGAACACTGCAGATTCGCTGCTCTCCTCACCCCCATGGCCCCCGCCTCTCCAGCCTTGGAGACGGATTTGATTTGGGATTGTTACAAAAATAATAATAACCCAAACGCAGAGAAGCCACGGAAAGGGCTGAGGGCGACCCACCCCTCCCCCCCCCGCCCTCCTCCCCCCCATTCCAAACCGAGTACAAAACCGCACCCAAAGCAGACATTCTGTACAGGGGGCTGGGTGGGCTGGGGAGCAAGCGGGAGGGGCGGCCCTGGGGTCGCTCTGTACAAGTCCAGGTTGGTGACAGCCCAGCAGTCCCCATGGGGCCCCCGAGGGGCGCAGGAGGTGAGTGGGTGCTCCTAGATGAAATATTCCTTCTTGTCATCCCCGCCTGACTGCCCGCCTTCTGCGTTGATGATGGCCGTATCCGCATCTGGAGCGTCGTCGGAGCCCTTGGCCTCATGTGTCAGGTAGGTTCCTGTGTGGAGATAGAAGCTCCTCTGTTCAGAAGCTTCTCAGCGTCTGAAGTCCGCCCTGCCCACTTTCCTACCCACCCACTCACACATTGCTCATCTCATCTTTCTCTTGCCTAGAGCTTTCATCCACCCCACCTTCTCTAATTTGCATTTTGCTGCCAACATCCCTCACCTGACCACACCCCCATGAATAACGAATCCTTCCCTTAACTAAAATCTCATCTATAATGTAGGCAAGGGATAAAAGAGGTGTGTGTGTGTGTGTGTGTGTGTGTGTGTGTGTGTGTGTGTGTGTGTGTGTGTGTGTGCGCGCGCGCACTTGTAGTGGAGATATAACTTAGGCATGAGGCATGACCAGTCTAGGCAGTTAGGCTGCTAGCTGCATGAAACAACAGAATAGAAGAGAAAGTAAAACAAAGAGTAAAGATATGGATGAGGATGAAGAGGAAGGAGATCACAGAAAGAAAAGGAAGCCAGGAAGCTGAACAGATGGAAAAGAGGAGAAGGACAAGAAGGAAGGGGCTAGAGACTGGTGAGCAGGACCCAAATGCAGAGCAGCAAAGAGCAGCTGACTGAGTGGGCAGGTCTGATTGTACTTGGATATTTACCAAGTGATCAGGCTTGACTGTGGGGTTGCTGTTGCTCAGTGATCACAGCAATGGCATTGCATGGGTTGGCTGTATTTGTTTCTCAGACAGCCTTAGGGGCTGAATGAGTTTACAGGGCCCTGAATGAAGCCCTCTTACTGTCTCATCTTCCCTGACTGATCTTCTCACCCACCCAAGTCCTCTTGATGCCTCTGACCTTTGTGCCGGATCAAATAGTGTCCCAGGAAGATGAGCAGAATGAGCAACAAGAAGACAATGAAAGCCACAATCCCTCCTATGATGGCGTGGTAGGTACTGGAGGATGAGGGCACTGGACTGGGGTCTGCAGGGAGGAAAGGCATAGTTAGAACTGGGGAGGGGAGGACATAACTCACATGCTGATTTGTCTCTGGATAATCTCACAGAAGAGACATCGGCATCAGGAGAACCCAGGAGGTATATGCAAGCACAGGGGACATGCCTTAGTCTGTGTTCAAGTGATTATCACCACGATGGCAATGTAGTAATTGTTCAAGAAAATGGATATATCCATCAGGCAATAAACAAACCAGCTCTTACTGTACTATCCAAGTAGCTTTTTTAGAACCAAAGCTTGACCTTAGTGAGATAATTGCTTTAATGCCTATGACCAATATCAAAATTCTCCTTCCTCCCTCTCTCCACCCTTCACTCTACTCCCACCCCCTCTCTCTGTCTCTCTGTCTCTCTGTCTCTCTGTCTCTCTGTCTCTCTCTCTGTCACACACACACACACACACACACACACAGGTACATTTGTGTTTTCTTGTTCATTTACTTTCTCCCATGTCTTCTCACATCCTGTTTAGTATTCTACCAGTCTCTTTAGGGGTTTGTTTGTCACTTTTCCAGTCTGAAGACCAGATGGGGAAGAAACAGTGAAAACTGATGGATCCAAGGGTTAAGCATTTGGAAAACACCTTGTGAAAAAAATGCTAGACTGTGCCACCATATATAAGACTTGTAAATTTCTTTAGAGAGCAAAGTTATCATCTGAGGGGAATTAGAAGACCATTCGCCATCTTTAGAATGAGCCTAGGACCTCAGGTTCTACCCCAGCATCCTTATCCCAGCCTGGGTTATGGCCTACACAACTGCCTTATCACAGCATTTAACAGCTCTGCTCCTGGGTGTTTCTTTCTTTCTTCCTTTAGCACCCCAATGTACATGCCCTAGAACATATCTGTTCTTTTTCTTTAGTAATTCTTTCTTAGCAAGGAGGATTAGTGATTCAGTAAAACCCAATCTTCTGACCCATCCAAGGAAGGAGGCCTAGTACTTCATCATCACTTTGACATCATCTAAACGTTTATGCTTAAGATTGGTTTGACTTCTCTCTCACACACAATGGCTAGTGTTCCCTCCAATTGCTATACAAAATTCACCATCCATAATAGGTGTGGACTGATTTCATAGTGGCACCTGGATCAAGAATGTCAATAAAAATGCTAATCTTGGTCAGAAACCCAAATCTCTGTGGACAAGTGCACAAGCCCAGGACAGTTCTGATGTCTCTGCATTAGCCACAGCTGTCATTCCCCCCTCCATGGGAGACCTCCTGTTTTGTTTTTTGTTTGTTTGGTTGGGTTTTTTTTTTGTTTTGGTTGGTTTTGTTTTTGTTTTTTTGGACTCAGCTTGAGTCTTGCAGCTTCATTAATTCCTATACTTTTTTTTCCCTACCTTATGTTTTCTAGGGCTTGACTAGGCCAGCTTTTTAGTTCCTTAACTTCCTATGCCTTAATTGAAAAGGAAAAGCATTAGTGCCTTTTTAAAATGTTCTGCTTGTGAAAGAGCTGGAGGATAACCCATGAGTTCCATGAGGGGGCAGATGTGTTGATGTGATTTAGGGGAAGAAACAGGAGACGTGGCCCACTGTGAAAATCAACCCTGTATATTTACTCTGGAATCTATAGAAGCAAAAAGTTCTTGGAAAAACACAGTCTTTCACTGTCAAAATGGTCTCTGGGGTTGTCAATAACCACCCTCTGTCTCCAGGTATAAGTACTTCATTCTTGGCAAGTCTTCACTGGGGAAGGTTCCTGAGGAGGCTGCAGTAACTCCTTCCACCACCAGGCGTCAGCACTGGCAGCAAACTAGTCAACTAGGCCTGCTTAGCTTTTTATCCCAGGGCAGAAGGATCAACAAGATATCAACTGCAGGGCATATACACTTTTTTTTTTTTTTTTTTTTTTCACTGCCAATCAGCATTGGAAATGGTCTGGAAGATCCGCGGGCCGAGCTTGGATTCCAGTGCCTTGTCGTAGCTCTCAGAATCTTACACTAGCCCTGGGGTTGTGCCTAGATGATCCCATGTGGTGAGAGATCAGCTCAGGACTCCTAATCACCAATGTAAACAAACATTCTGGTCCCAAGTACTTGGGCCTCTTTCTCATCTCTGGGATCCTGGGTGTTAGGTACCCCATTCCCTGCCTCACTGGGTATTTCAAATGAGGGAAGACCCCAAAGTTTCTTCAGCACTTCCCCTATTCTGCAGAAAGATCTGAAGACTTTCTAGAAGGACTTCAATGCCATCCGTGTCTTAAAAAGAAGAAAAAAATTTCCCTTCCAGCTTCCTCTAAAGCCAACTCTGTCCTGTCATTTCTCTTGAAGCTGGGTTTGAATGTATTTTGTGCATGCACACACACACACACACACACACACACACACGCACACGCACACATGTGTGTGTGTGTGTGCTAATGTCCATGCATTCCTGTGTACTAACTGTAGAGGCCAGAGGAATTCCATCCACCTGATTCTTTGTGACAAGGTCATGGTCATTTTTCACTAGCTGAGAGCTCATCAAGTAGGATAGCCATCTCTGTCTCCCCAGCACTGGAATTACAAATGTTAGCTACCACACCTATTTCTGTTTTGCTCCAACTGGCTGACACTTTACTGACTAACCTAATATTCTAGGCATCTGGTGGGGTCAGTTTCTGAGAATTTCAGGAAGCAGCACCTTTGGAAGGTGAAACATTAGTGAAGAGATTTGGACCATCTCTTGAAACAGTGCATGCTTGTTTCTTTTAATCTTTTCCAAACTATAATGCACAGAGTCCTTAGGAACGGAACTGATGGCAGCATCATCCACTCCATATCTGGTCCCAGGAGGAGGAGCTTTTCAGCAAGCACACAAGCCCTCAAGAGGGCCCTCTACATGAAGTTGATATTCTCCCATCAGGTGATAGATGGTTCCAAAGGAGTCACTGCCTGCAGGCAGAGGCAGCAGGAGCCAATCTTTCTATTGAATTACCATTGTTACACATTGCTAGGACCTAAGGGCAGTGCTTCCCAGTAGTTGGGCATTTTCCATCCACCCTACTACTACTTAAGTGGGGGGGGGGGTTACTGACAGGAAAGCAAGAGATGACCAAAGAAGAGAGATGTCGGAGAAGCCAGAGACTTACCATTGACATTGAGGGTAAAGTAGGCTGTGTAGCTGCCCATGTTGCTGGTGGCTGTACAGCCATAGGTGCCACTGTCACTCTTGTTCAGGAAGGGGAAGATGAGAGCACTCTCTTGGGTCATCTTCAGGGGTGGCTCGCTGCCTTCCTTTACCCACAGGTACTGCTGGGGGCTGAGATAGAAAGATGGGAAGTGTTCAGGATGGCCTGGGCCAAAGGTCTAGAGGACTTAAAAACTGATAACAGGGGAGTCAGAAACTGGTGACGTTTAAGATGCTGTATAGTCCAGAGGGTGGGTGTTGGTGGGGCTGTGGGATCATCAGTCTTAAGTACAATTCAGAGCAGGTAGAGGTGCTTTGATCTGTATCTTACTGTGACTTTGTTCCTTAGGGGAACCAACCCCACTTCTGCTGCTTTGCAGTAGACATAAAGGAGAAATGCTATTGTGGAGGTAGAGGAATAGGAGATATGCCCCCGTGGGTACCCAGGGGGTGGGGAGTTATCTAAGAGTGTAGGGCCGCATCAGAAACCATGGACTCTCTTCTTACACTGGATTGCCGCGACCCTCACAATGTAACAACAGCTTCTGGCCTTCCCGGGGATGTGCAGGCTCTGGTCTAATCATGGCTGTCGGAGTGTCTGTGGAGAAGTACATGATGTCAGCGCCAAACTCCCCACTCTGCATAGGAGATCCCTAGAACCTTGGAATCGTTTAGTGACATGCTACAGAGTCTATCCCCCGAAGTCCCAGAAATATGAAAGATTGTGAACAAGCCCCTTTTCCTCCCAGCTCTTGTGAACACAGACTGTGAGCGCCACAAACGGAGAGCAACCTGCTGTATCTCAACCTTTGAGTGATGGCATTCCAGCAGGCCTGTCCTTGGGGGAACTTACGGGATGTCTTAGCAGAGCTGAGGAGAACCCATGGTTTATTCATGCCTAGCAAACTGCCTGGCACATAGACAGTACCTAATACATATTTTTAAAGGAACAAAGAAAGTGAACTTGACACTGACTGAGTCCACAACCTCTCAATTCTGTCTGCTCTGTGCACATGCTTAAGAGTGAAAGCAACACATGAACACAAAACCTCCCTTAAAATGGTCAGTCCAAACATAGACTGAAAGTATAGAAACAGCAGGGGTGGGGGGTCAAATTTTGGCTGGAAAAAGAGAGAGAGAGAGAGCGAGACCTGAGACAATATGGATGGCTCTGTGAGGGAATAATGATATCTGTCACTGATGCCAAAAGGCTGTTTAGGAGGCTGGGTCCAGATGGTGGCTGAGAACAATGTGACCAGATGCTGGTTTGGAACCACAGATAAAGAGGACACACTATCCCTAAGGACAGAGACAACCTCAACAAGCAGTTCATGAACATGCTCCAGCTAAATTGTTCAGGACAAAGAGAGCCAGGTCAGGTGAGAAAACCGGCATTCCTGGGCTTCACAGCCCAGGAAGAGATCTCTAGCATAACACCTGGAATGGCGCATTTGAGGCCTGGCCCTGGCTACTGATCACAGGCCAAAGGAGACCCTGCAGAGTAATAGCCAAATGGGCTGGTATCTAAGAGAGGACTCTGTGGGACTCCAGTAGCAAAGAGTATTCTTCAGTTATGGCTGGGGACCAGGCCTCAAGAGAACAGCCCAAGGCTCAGGGCCTTACACTTGGAACTAGTAAATACAGAAAGACTTTATAGCAATTTAGAACTTGGAAGTTTGTATAGTTCTTTCATGTATATTATTCCATCTATTCTCAGTATAATTCAGGGTAGTAAGCAGTATTCAAAGAGAGATGAAATGCTTTGGTGAAGGCAATACAGCTAGCATGTGTCAGTACTGGCTAGAAGGCTACTCATCAGCCTGCCCATTGAGTGTCATCCAAATGGACTATGGTACTGTTCAAAATTAAACAATATTATAGCTTGAATGAAAGGTCTAGCCACTGATTAAATGGCACCAAAGTTAGGAAATTAATCATCTTGTGTCTTCCATAAGGAGATTAAAAGCTCTAGCTATTTTTGAAAATTACCAACCTTTTGGTAAATTAGGAAAAGATAAGCATTGTTGTATATACCTCCCACACTTCTATTATTCCTTTTGCTTTCCATGCAGGAACATTTCTTTGAAAAATTTCTAGATTTCCTCAGATGAGAAGTTTGCAAATATTCCGGCTTCTTCAGACATCCCCTACTAAAGGAAGAGTCCACGAAGAGGATGAAGCGGTGTGGAGAAAGTATATAAAGCAGTGATACTGACAACTGGTCACCTTAGATCAGAATCCCAAGAAGTGTGGGACTGGGGCAAATAGAAAAATGACTAGGAGGTAAAAGTCCTTGGACTCTTTGACAACAGAGAGAATTGCCCTTCCCTTCCACCCATACCACTAGGCCTCACAGAATTCCAGTGAGAAGAGGCCACAATGACAGCCATGATCACAAATAAATAAGGAAGATCAGTGGGGGAGAGCTGTCTTCACACCACACAACCAGCATGTTGTAGAGTACAGACAAGTAACTACATCTGGAGACTCTGGGTTTGCTACACTTAGCAATGTCAGTTACAGTCTAGTTCCAATTCACCAGTATAGCCCAAGGGCTGGGAAACTTTGCCCATGGGCCAAATCTTGCCAGCTGCAAGCTTTTGTAAATAAAGTTTTATTGGAATGCAGCCCAACTCATTTGTTTATGCTCTGTCTGTGGCTGCTCTCCCGCAGCACAAGCAGAATCAACTCATTGAGACAAAGACCTCGGCTCTCTGAGCCTGCAATGTTTACTACAGGGCCTGTTCTTCTGAAGCCTTGCCACTTTCACTGTGCATGTTGCCTCATGTGCAGCCAGCAGCACTTTTCTTTTCCTCACTCCCTACCTCACACCTGGTCCTTCTCACCCCAAAGCCCATGACATACATAAAACTTCAATGCGCTGAGAGGTGGATCTGTCGGCTCCCTTTAGAGATTCATGGTTCACAGAGCACACGATGCTTGCTCCATCATCCTCCCGGGTAACCTGGAATGACACTGAGCTGCTCACAGTGAAGGTTTTTCCATTGGGATCTTCCTGGACTCGTGTTTGGTCTCCTGAAATGCAAACAGGCAGACAGACAGAAGCACGCACACACACACACACACACACACACACACACACACACACACACACACACAGGATACATGGTCAGTATATACAGACAGCCTGTATCTTAACATAAAGATCCTATCTGGGCCCACACAGATTTTGAGTCTATCTTGGACAAGTTAGAGAATGTTTGAAATGGATATGAATGCATAAACAGAATGTAGACTCTGACACACACACATGTCTACAATGCATCTACCATTCACTTTCTTTATCTCCACTTTTTCTTATGTGCCATATGTAGACATCCCTCACACACCTGCTTCCCTGCACCACCTCATTCCTGTAACCCCAGGCAGGAGCTACTCACCATGGAGCTCCTGGTCACCTTTCCTCCAGGTGAGCTGAGCTGCGGGTTTGCTCCCAGAAGACTGACAGTTTAGAGTGGCTGTCTCCTTTTCCCGCAAGGATGACTTATAACCAGTGATTATGGGTTTCTGTGGGATTCCTGCCATGGAGAGAGGATGGCCGGGATAGGAAGGAGAGGCACCATGAAGTCACACTTCAAGCTCTCCCTGTAGATATGTCCTCTATAAGGGGCAGGATAGTTGAGCTCTACTTTGGTTTACAAAGATGGGTAGACACATAAAGAGTCAACGTTCTTGGATCTACTTCCTGAGGACAAGATGGGAAGACTGAGGGGAGTAAGTATGAGAGTGTAGGAGGAATGGGGATGCTGTGCTTAAAGGACAGTCATGACTGCATACCCCAGAGTCCAGCTAGGTGGCCATGCAGATAGTGAAAGGCCCAGGGGAGTGGAGATAGGAATTAGAATACAGGATGAAGATAACTGTATTCAAGCAACTGAAGAACTTTTCTTAGAAATTAGAACTAGATATTATATATAGAACTTGTGTTCTCACATATAATTTCTGGAGTGAAGTGGAATGACCATTCTTTGCTACACATTATGAAGTTTATGCTTAAAGAGATTTGTTCCAGATCAAATAGTAAGTACAGCAGATCAGACCCTGTTTCCTTGCATTTAAAGGGAAATATGTAGAACTTTTCTGATATTACTAGAGGCTTGCCTGGTTCTGGGATGCTTTGGGGATCAACTGAGGGAGATTTGTTTACAAAGCAGCATGCTGTGGAGACAAGGGGGTTTGAGAGCCTCACCGAGCACAGTGACAAGGGACTTGGCGGTTCGAACAGGCATAGTGAAGATGGAGCATGTGTACTCGCCCTCGTCTGCCAGCGCCACATTGCTGATGCTGATACTGAGTTCGTGGGGAGTGGAGCTAACCAGCTGAATCCGATTATCTCGAAGGGCTGGGGAAATCAGAACTGAGAGTCAGGATGCTACAAGTACCTTGCATGTTATAAGACTTTTAAGACTATGTATGGCTAAGGTCAGAGCTGTAGTGCAGATTATTCTCTGTAAACAACTGAGGAGACCCCAGTTTATTATGTTTTCCAATAACATACCTTGTGTTTCTCAGCCTGGACTACAAAGAAAATTCCCCTCAGCTGTCCCTTTCTCCTAGCCCATGATTCCCATGGAGAAAGGTCATTCATGAGATACTACCTCTCTTCTCCCCAAAATATAGAGTCTGCTGGGCAGGATTAGACCACTGAAGGGATGAGTCTTCATGATCTTTTACTTGACACTTGAGCACCACGGTGCCACCAGCCACCACTGTTTCATCAGATGTCCAGGGCTGGCTATCTGCAGGGGTAGAGTAGTACATTTAGTTTCATGAGGAGCCCTGAGGATGTCTACCCATTACTGGGCCACAGTCCATCTCATCTAATTCAGGCTACCCGAGGTTCTGGTGTCTGTATGCTCTTGAGGCTTCATGAGTGAAAGGATAGAGAGGTGGTTGTGGTAATAGAGAGGAGACAGACCTGTTCTTCTCTCACTTTGGATACATAGAAAGTATCATCACTTGTTGAATGTTGGATGAACAGACAGGGTCACAAACACTAAAAGAATAAAGGCACCCAGATCTCAACATTCTACTCCACATGTGTATTTTTAGATATGGTTCTTCCATTCATCATTGAGAACACACATACATATCTGCCATCCTATGTTTTGCCTTCCTGTCACCACCTATTGTAAGAGCAAAACCACCAGAAACTATTATGACTAATAATAAAAAACTGATGGGGAAAAGTCTAAACCAGCTCTTGGTGTATGCATTCATCTATATAAGAAACCAAACAAACAAAATAGAAATTGAAGACAGAAACATTTAAAACATACTTTAAATTTTTTTCTAGCAATAATCTCAACACAATCAAATCCATCATCAGTTTTACTATTATTATGAGTTGTTGCAGCTGCTGTTAGGACGAGGTCTTACTGTGTAGTCCTGGCTGGCCTAGTATTTACTATGTATTCAAGATGGTCTTAAATTTACCAAAGTCCTTCTGCCCCTGCTTTCTAAATGCTGGGATTATAGACATGCATAACCACATCCAACTATTTGTTCTCTTTCCTGGTAAGTCTTCCTGTCTCCCCAAATACAAACCCAATTCACCAAACCTGATGTCATTTAAAGAGCAAAAGACTGAAGTGATGAAGGTATATTTTCTAACTCCCCTCTCCTTAGAGAACTTAAACAAAATGCAAGCTCAGTTTGATAGAATTCCTAGAATTCAGGAAACCCTAGATTGGATCCCAGCACCACAATGACTAGTTGTGATGGAACACACATGTTATCCCATTACTCAGAAAGTAGAGACAGATGGAGAAAAAATTGTAGGTTATTCTTGCCTATATACTGAGTTTGAGGCCAACTTGGACTGCATATACCCTGTATCAAAAATAAGACACATACACTCATACACACACACACACACACTCATACACACTCACACACATACAGAGAAATAGAGGAAGAGGGATGGAAGGAAGAAAAGAAAGAAGGGAGAGGAAGGAAGAAATCCAGAAATCTTTTGGATAAATCAGTTGAATGCCAAATGAACCTTCTCCTCAAGCCTAGCTGTGAACCTCTCCAATGCTGGCATCTGTTTCCCACACCAGGCATTGTGCTAAGTTCCCACAGCATAGATTCTGATTCCTCATATTGATTGCCTCATCTTCAGAATCGCTTTTAGTGACCCAACAGCAGTGACCTCCTCAGAACTAATCTAAAATAATCATCTCCCTTCTCTGCTTCAGGAATATCCAAAAGTCTGCTCTCTGTCTCAGAATTCCTCAACCAGCAACATTCATGGCCCCATAGGAAACCAGGAATCATGCTTACCACACCCTCTCGAGAATACTGTGAAAACAATCAGAAGCTCCCTTTGCCACAGGCTGGGCCCCACCTGCCTGCTTCTTTCTTACTTTTCCAGTCACCTGACTTGCATCACCCTGAGCGATCTTAAAAGAGAGAAGGCCATAAGGAGGGAAGGCATGCTGGAAATTATGCCAAGCAAGACATACCATTAAGGACTCGTAGTTTCCGAACTGGAGTATGAAACCTGATGGTTAGTACTGCCTAGGATTATAAAAGCTGGAAGTAAGGGAGCTCACTAGGACCAGAAACCCAATTTCCTCATCTCATAGACACAGGCAGCAAGGCAACATGGTGAAGGGACCCAAGATCAGCCCACTAGTTCTCAATACTGTAACTCTGTTCTGTCCTCAACATAGAGCTGTTGTCATTGGAGTTGTTCCTAAAGTGGTTCTATGAAAGGAGAATTAAGACTATGATTGGATTTTGAGATTATTGTGTAGCCACTGAGCAAATTTGCAAGTGAAATTTTCTCAAAATGTCTCAATGGAAGGTGTCTGAGGCCCTTCATTTGCAATAGACATATATTGATTTCTAAACTCTAATCCCTCTGTCCTTGTCTCACTTGAAAAATTCATCTTTTACAGTGCCTCTCCAGGATCTCTTTGTTTTGAGTAATCCACTTCTCTGGAGGCATCTTATTTTTGGAAAGAGGTGTAGGGTTACAGAGGTCTTTGTACCAGAGTGAGGGACGGAGTTGGTGCATGGTAATGTTGTGGTGGTGGTGGTGCAAAACTAAGAACTAAATGCCATATGGAAGGAAAGCTGTGTGATAATGAGTGGAGTGAGAATATGGGGTGGAGTACCATGAGTGGGAGATGATGTGAGGATGAGTGAGGCATCTGAACAACATTGAGATGAAGGGCCTGGTATCTCACCTTGACTGGCCAGCATGTCAGGGCTGCTCCAGACTGTGGAGCTGAGGGCCTCGTCCAGTGGAGCCAGAGTTCCCAGCTCCAAATCCTGCTCCTGCCAGTAGCCTGGGGAGAGAACCTGCATCAAGGATGAACCCTGTGCACACTACTATAGCTTGTGTCTACACTTCCATTGTGGGGGTGGGGGAGGGGCTAGGCCCCTATGGAAAGTAGTTTCATCAACATACCTAAGAGAAAGTGAGACATTAGCAAGAATTCTGAGAAAGGATCTCTGATCGGCCATTTAAAGGCAGATGGTAACAATTTTAGCTGTCCGTCATAAAATGTTAGAGTCAGAGAACTCGGAGGCCATTCAGCCCAGTTTTCCCACTTCACAGACTAGGAAAAAGAAGTCCCCCAAAAGATTGTGCGGGGCTCACTACTGAAAAATGAAAACCTGAAAACAAAACAAAGCACTATAAACGATATCCAGGATTCTTTTTGTTGTACCACATTATCTATTAACACAACACCAGGTTTAAACATTAGGGCATATGTTCACATTTGATTCTTTCCCTTAACCTATAAAAAAGGGCTGGCATCGCCATTCCTGTTTTGGCGAGTTGAAGCAGAATGGAATGGCTCGCCCAGAGTCTTGCAAATTGAGGACAGACTGGAAATGAAATGCCTGGTTTCAAATCCGATGCTCTTTATTCCAAGGTGAGGCATCCTCCACACTGCAGAAAGACCAAAGTTGGGGCTAGAAGTTGCATTACAGCTTCCCAGAGTCTTACCTTCTGTGCTCAGATTCTAAGTCTTCATACTAGGTTCCCAGAGTTCTGCCTCACTGAGTCTGCACCTGCCTTTGACGCAACCAAGACTTGTTACCCTGGCTTTCATCACCACCTCTCTTAGATCGCTGTTATACTCTCTTGTGAACTACAGTGGTGTCTGGGGTTCACAGCTCCAACCCAAAAGGAAAGAGCAGAGGGACAAAGAAACCGGCTAAGCAACTTTTCAAGATCTCCCGCCACAGAGCCCTAGTGTGGCCAATCACATCGCGAAAATCCAGTGAGCTCATCAGCTGCTGAGCAGACACTGGGGCTGCTTCTCTTTCAGGGACAGCAGAACAGAGAGAAGTTGATCAATTGTCAGGTCCCAAAGGGAGCCACCATGGGGGTGGGAGGTGGAGGTAGGAGTGAGGAGGATAAGAAGGGTGGAGGTGGGGCTAAGACAGGGCAGGTGGGTGGGCCAAATCTAAAATGGGATAAGGACTTCTCCGGAGAAGAAAGGAGATAGGAGTAGGGAGAGAAATGATTAACCACAAGAGAATGAGAGCAAGTCGGTGAGGGGAGAAAAGAGAGAAGATGGGATAGCTGAGGAAGAGGGTGAGGAAAAGGAAGGAAGAAAGAGGGAAGGGGAAAAAGATAAAGCTATAGGAGACAGCTTCTGGAATTGGCTGGCTGGTCCCAGTGTAAACAGTCCCGTTCTCACTGCTCCTGACCTGGGTCTCCCAGAAGATTTTCGAATTTACTTTGTTCTCAATGAGAGATCAAGTACATTTCTAACAGGAAAAAAAAAATGAGTGGGGAAAGGGGCAAAAGAAGAATTGATGAAGAAAGGCAAGGATAGGAGAAAACGGAGGGCAGGGCTCTCAATTCCAGCAAAGAGACAGTCCCGAGTACAGAGCCCTCCTCCTGGGGATTCTTTGTGTGGACACCAAGGATGAAGACAACTGGACACTGGTGAGTGTTTCATGTTATTTTCCAGGTTATACATTTTAGAGTGTGTTGTGCCAACATCAAGTAGTGAAGAGGATTCCTTGAACTAAGGCATGGAGTGCTTGAGGGACAGGGAGGAGCAGGGTAAGGGGGTCTATGCTCTCTCATAGGGCATTAGTAACCCGGCACACAATCTAAGAACCACTACACAGGTTTGTACTCTAATGGACTGAGGAAATAGCCTTGTAATACTTCAGTGTGTGCCTTTCAGTTTGCAGAGTGGATTTTCACCCATGATTTCATTTAACCTCAAAACAATTGCTAGCAGTAGGCAGCCAGATAGAATCACTTTTAAAGTTGACATCCAAAGAGGTTCCTTGGCTCACCTAAAGGAACACAAATAGCACAATTCTCAAGAACCCTTTCTGCCCCTTGTGGGGTTCTCAGCTTACAACAGCCTGTTTTCCAGAACATTTGCACACTGCACTGTAATGTGTTTGGTTACCAGGGTCTGCGTCTAAACTCAGAGATGGTTAAGGGCAGAAACATTACCATTTTAACCTGTGTTTGTTTGTTTCTTTAACACTCCCATCCTATTAAGCTCTAGGTGCTTGTGACTAGTCTGGTGATTTGCCACCTCCCTACCAGGCTGTCTGCACTGCTAACCACGTGGAGCCAGTTTCTGGTCTCCACTCTTCTGCTTCTCACATCTGTGCATTTGTCTGCATCTTCCTCAGTGGCTTCTCTCCTTGTTCATACTTGTCTGTCATCTCCACATTCCCACTTCTGCATGTTGCTTTTTTTCTGCATAGGATAAATAAGTAAAATGGTGATGTACATCACTTAAACACAGCTGAACTGTTCAGAGGCAGAAAGCAACAAATAACCTTCAATAAATGACATGTTTGGGATGTACATGATTTATTGCCTCTGTACAATTGCAGGGAATTCACTTTGGTTTGTAGTATTTTAGGAAACCTTTTAAGATGAGGCTGGAGCATTGTTTATCTCTCTATGGTGTGTGTGTGACATATCTCCTAATCCTGAAATGTCCTTATGATCTTATATCTCTGCTCTTGGGAATTCCATTCATATGTCTGAAAGTTAAACAATTTTATGAAATTGTAGACTGCTAGTCATACTTTCTGAATGGCCATTCCTATGGGAGCAGGTGAGTGATTGTAATGCTGTCATCAGGAGCATGGATAAGTAGCACAGATTATAAGCCACTTTATGAAAAGCTTGAGCTATCTTTGGATTAAAATTGTGCCAGTCATTTATGACATCATCATGATTTCCCTCAAAATGTTTGGACAGAAAAGGGAAGAAACTGAGGAGTATTCTAAAGGGGACATAAGGACTTGCAAGTGGAGTCAGTAAGGATTCTATGCAGGGACCTTGGAAGGAGCAGCTGGCATACAGCCACTGGTGAAGAACACCCTTCCTATGTGGGGAGAGCCATGAAGGAAAGCTCCAGTCTTGATCGTATGAGTTGGAGAGTGTCTGTACTACTAGTCGTATTGTTATCTGCTTAAACACCTCTTTGAATTTTATCCTTTCTCTCTCTCTCTCTCTCTCCCTCCCCCCCCCCTCTCTCTCTCTCTCTCTGTGTGTGTGTGTGTGTGTGTGTGTGTAAGAGAGAGAGAGTCAGAGTGGGGGCAGAGAGCTGCATGTCGGTTTGTGGGTTCATGAGTATGTGCCTACATCTGCATTTAGCTGTGCACGTAGATGTCAGAAACTAACATGGCGTGTCTTCTTCATTCATTCTCCAACTTATATTTTAAAAATTATTTTTTTTGGTGAGGGGGCACACCATAGTGTCTGTGTTGAAGCTGGAGAACCTGCAGCACTCAGTTACCTTCTTCCACCATAGGGGTCATGGGATTGAACGCAGGGTGTCAGTCTTGGCAGTAAGCACCTTTACCATCGTACTTGCTCTTTACCTAATTTTTCTAGAAAGGTGTGCACCTGCTACCCCAAGCCATTGATGCTGGGTGTTCAGATGCATGCCACTATGCCAGGCTTTTTCCATGAGTGCTGGAAGTATGAATTTGGGCCCATAGCAAGTACTTTAGCAAGTCATATCCCCACCTTACTTTACATTTTCTGTAGATGATACTCAGATTGGCTAGTCTGGCCTTCCAGGTTCTGTACAGTCTGATGTCAACCCACCTATCAACTTTGTCTTTTCTCCATTTCATTGAGCCTACATTCTAGACATAGGAGCTCTTTAGAATTCCATTTAGAACCTTTGCCATCCTGGGCCCATTACCTTTTCTATAACAACTTGGTTCTAAAGCTGTTCACCCATCTTCACGGGTTTTAGCTCTAGCCTTTAAGCCTACTTTGTGTAGCTCTCCTGTAAAGAATGCTTCCTTGGTGGTCTATTTGGGAATTTCCCCCCATATCTCTCAGTTGCATTGCTTTCACTGACTTCCTTACATGATGCAGTGCCTTTGACCTTGCACTGAAAGTTGGGCTTCTTCCTAAGTCATATAGATCCTACAAGAACAGTGGATATCTGATTCATCTTAGTAACAATACTGGCTCTAATATAGCACAGTGCACATAGAAGGTGTTTAATAAATATTTATTTATTTAATGAATCAGATACTGAATATTTGCCATTGTGAGAACAGAGCTCAAAATCTGTTACCACAGAGAAAATACCAAATACAAAAGCACAGAAAGAAGTAGACTAAGAAAAGCATGGTGTGCCCTAGACATGAACATCTAGATATCTACAAGACAGGACTTGATATTAAAAAAAAAATAACAACACCCCCCCACCAAAAAAAAAAACTAGTTTTAATCTCAAGATTTAAGAGGTTGACAGGTATAATTCCAGGCAATTAGGTAATTATGTGATGTATTTAGTAAGGGTTAGGATGGGACAAGCTTTAATCATAGGTCTCTCTAGCCATGAAGCCTAGGCTTTCTGTATCTTCCCACCTGGCTCAGGAGGCAGAAGCAGGTGTTTTGTATGTGGTGTGGTGGGTTAGGGGTAGCTGAGGGAAGACTTTCCTACATTTCTGGCCAGGGATGGCTTACCTAAACAACATTCACAACACTCACCTGCAGAATGATAAAAATCACAGAGTAGCAGGCTAGAGCCATTGCTTGTGATGGTGGCAGTGTTGTGATTGGCATCCAGTGAATTATGCTGTTAACTGGATTTTATAATGTGGCTTCACTCCATACTTTGGGATCTATTTTGTCTACCCCTAATTGTCTTACAATGTGGGACTCTGTGGTTAACTAAACAACAGATGTGTTTATTTAAAACTTTTGACAAAATCTCTTTATGCTTTCATCACTTTAGCACCTAGGCTAAAAACGAAAAGGTTATCGCGTTGGCTCTCAATCATTTTGAGTTTCTTAGTTCTTGCTTTATTTACCCATGGG